TAGTAATCATGTTTTGGCCAGCCAACAAAATCAATAACCAACCAATAATGTCAATAACCAGCCACCATATCAATGGTTGGCCACTAACTAAATAGTTAGTCAACCAATCAATAGTTTTGGATTTTAGCCTATAAAAGGAGGCATTTGCCATTCATTTAGGCATCTTGATTTTCATATCAAGATCATATTCTTACTTTCTTTCTTTGTATTTTTGTAATGTTTAAGTTTTGTTTTTATTAATCTCTTGTTTATGTTTTTCATCATAACTATGTTCTTATCTAGTTTATTTATGTTCTTCTTCTTCACTATGTTTAGCTAAGTTTATTATGTCAAGGTGTAAAGGTTTCTCTAATGGTGTTAGAATAGGTTTATTATAAACTTAACATAGACATCAATGTTTATATCCAAGAAAGTTTGTTATTAATATGTCTTATCTTTTTATCTTACTAATTATTAATATCTTGCTTGTTAAATGATTAATCTAGATTTGTATTGTATAACACCTGATACAATAAATGTTTGATCCTTCATAGTCTTCGACCGACATCGTTGTATAAGAGGAACTTGATTTGTTGTTAACATAAGTTAACATTATGAATACCTGACAATATTTAAAAGTATTGGTGTTACTTAATTAAGATAATTAATATGATCATGTTAATACTTTATAATGAGCCATTAATGATAAATCATCCGATTGAAACCTTCTTTGTGTGTGGTTTGCAGTTGAGTAATAAAAAGAGTTTATATTATATTTACTTCTAATACCATTAGTGGATCCTCTAACCTTGACAACTGTTTTTATCATTGTTTAATCCTCACATTAATCTCACATCTTAAAGATCTCTTTAACTCTTTGTTAAATTATATTTATTATTTATAATTTATATAATTCACCTCCCTGTGGTTCGACCCCGGTCTTATCGGGTTATTTATTACTTCGACACTCCTACACTTGGAATAAGACATTAACTCTTTGATCGTGTCAAGTGCCAATCCAAATTATCACTCACATAACGGAATTTGATTACTAATGCTAGTAAATGTCATTGCCCATCCATAAAAAAAAAAAATCCAAGTAAAATTGCCACATCTTGTGGTGCGTATTCTCCCCATGCCTAAGATGAAATATGTGTCTCACATCTCCATTGCTTACTCAATACATGAATCAAACCATAAACCCTAAATCCACCATAAATCATAATTGATGGTATTCATAACTAATTTATCATTAATTCAATAAGCCTTAAATTCATTATAAACCCTAAATTCAACCTAAAAATTATTTCATTTCAACTAAACCAAACACAAATTCATAGTAATAGTCCACCCATAATGGTGTTAATGGCATTATTTATTTGGTGCAGAAAAAGATCTACCTATAATGGTGTTATAAGTCAAGGGTATGTCGATAACTATGAAGATTTGTTGTAGAGAGACACGCTTAGGGGAGTACTCATAATGACTAGGATTTCCAAGATGCTTTTAATTGGTATGCCTGGGCCTTTTATCCTAATGAGATGAATTTTTTCTAGGGTCAGTCTTAAGCAGAGATATCCCTATTTGTGCCATTACTTCACAGGAGAGGATGTTAATTGCACTCGTATCATTTATCAACATTTGATATACAGAGGTGCCCCTTAAGATGAAGTTGACTTCAATTAATGCTTGCATAGATTGACCAAGCTCATCCTTTCTTTGCTCAGGGTGAGAATTCCTTTTAAAAAATTAGCAAAGATAACCTTTAGCTATCAATCTTTCAATATCCTTATTGAAGATGTAACAATCTTCTATGTCATGTTCTTTATCCTTATTCAAAAGACAATAATTCTTAGAACTATGAATATTGGGTGATGATTTTAAGGGTTAAAGGTATTGACGAAAATCTTTTTCCTGAATGGTCGTGAGGACTTCAAAAATAGTAGCATTTAAAGGAGTGATATGCATTTCAGGGTAGCTCATGCACTCCCTAGTTATCTTCTTTTGGCTTTTCCTATAGTTGTTCTTCTTTCTAGGAAAGTGATCCCGCTTGGGATACCCCCTAGTGAAATTTTATCTAGAGAAACGGAGAGGACCAGTGCACAAGTCACTTTCCTTCTTTACCTGAATATGGTTCTCCATGGCTTGCTTCACTTTTAGTAAGCTTCTATTTGGTAGGGCATACAATTTCTTTTATAAAGATTTTCCCATTACTCCACTTATAAGGGCTTTGAAGGCTATCTACTTTATTAATTCCTTAACTTTAAGCATTTCCTAATTAAACCTTTTCAGGTATGCTCGTGTGGATTCATCATCTACCTGAGTGAAGACGAGTATACAATACTCATCTTAATAAAAGAGAGTCTCTAATCTAATGGGGGGGGTGTAGACATCTTCCTGAATATACTTCTTTTCCAACTACTTTCTACTCCTATGCCTATAGGGTTCTAGAGAGCCTGAGGTTTCTGGCATGTAGTGGTAGGATTTATAGATGGTCTCCTTCTCGTATTGGCCAAATAAACATCTAAAATATCCTTTATTTGCTCGAGAGTCAAGAGGGTGGATATGCTTCTTGGAATGGTTAGATAACCTTTGATGGATGACTAATATGGAGGCGATTGGAAGGATACAACAACTTATTGAGATGCCATTGAGACTTGTTTAGGTACATTTTCTTTTGTTTGCTAATTTGCCAACACTGTTTTGGCGAGGAGTTGCACTTGATTAATAAGCTGCTAAATGGTTGGTTCTATAAGAGTATTTGTTATAGTAGAGAGATAATTTATATGTCTTATCCTAGGAGTGTCTTAATTGTCTGTCATTAATAATAAATAAGGATCTCAATAAAACAATAGGATAATTAATGGTTTTTTAAAAGCGTTTCTCACATATGACACCAGCTGATAATGTCTTAAAATCTAATATATTAAAGGATCATGTTATTTGGTGTTTAGTTAGTGGTTAATCAAATGTTCATGTCAATATTTCCTTCTCTTTAGCCGAGGAAGTACAAAAATTGATGATAGAAGTCCTGGTACTTGCAAAAATAGTCCCTATTGGTGGGACTTAAAGACCCTCCGATAATAAAGTTAGTAACTTTAAATGGAAATGGTAATAAATGAAAGAAAAGGCTTTAAATTCAAAGAACAAGAGTGTTTGTTCCTTTTATATATATATAATTAATGCTCTAAGATATAAAAGCTTTTAGAGTAAGAAAAAGTGAACATTTTACCTGAATGGTTCAGGGGATATTTATAGTCCTTGAACCTTATCATCTTCAGAGATTGGAAAGATTGGAAAGTCATTTTCTCTTGATGATATTAATGAGGAATAAAGATCTCTTACATATCATTAATGAGCGGTAAATATCCCTTACAAATCATTGATGAGATGAAAATGTGGTAGGCTCCTTAAGAGACCTTTTATATATCTATAGATATAAGAAGATGATTATATCTAACATTAATAGTTCTTTTAATAATCATACTAAGAAACTCATAGTCCTTACACAGGTCTTTGATGACCTATATGCTCACAGGGTTTAGAAAGTAGTTGAGCTTAAGAGAGATGAGTTTGATAAATTTTCAAACCCATGTTGCCTCAGGTTCAGCCAACGGCTAAACCCAAACATATTGGGTCTGGTAAATCACCAGACTCACTTAGCCTTAGGTCAGCACATGGTTAAACCCAAGTGTATTGGGTCTAGTAACTCGTTAAACACGTCTCATTAGATTCAGCATATGGCTAAACCCAAGCATGTTAGGTCTAATATTTTGTCAAACCTATGTTTTCTTGGGTTGAGCACATGGCTAAACCTAAACTTATTAGGTCTGGTAATTTGTCAAATCCATGTTGTTTTGGGTTTAGCACATGGTTGAACCCAAGCTTATAGGTTCTAGCAATTCGCCAGACTCACCTAGTGTTGGGCTAAGCTTATGGTTGAGCCCAAGTATGTTAGATCTAGCAGATTGTCAGGCCCACATAACCATGGACCTAGCGTATGGCTGAGCTCAAGTAGTCTTAAAGTTTCTGAGTCAAAAACACTAGCTCATCAACATGACAAGATTTTTACCCTTGAATAAAATATAATTAATCACCAATTTGAGTATACAAATGAAAATAATTGATGTTTGTCCAAGGTCAATTTTTCCCTTATCCCCTTATCCCTAAACAAATGAACATGGTTTAAGGATATAAATATATGATGAACAATTAAACAATATACATACAATGATCTCTATGAAACATCTGTCATGACATTTTCTTCATAGGATTCTCCACACTAAGCAAAAGCTTCTCTTCTCTACTCAGGTACAATATGTTCCTTATTCTTCATCTATCTATGTTATACAACACTTACCTTGGGTATAATATGGTCTCCACTCAAATCCCTATTTAAGTATAATGATGATCTGTCTAAACTTAAGATACTTTCCAAATAGGGGTGCAAAGAAATAACTTTTCCACTTTGTCCAAGTACAAATATATTTTTTACCCATGTATTGTTCATGTATTGTTCCCCATGTGATTGTTCAATCAACCATTTTACCCAGGTATAAAATCAACACTTCCTTACAGCTAAATGGTTACACCATGCTCAAGTATAAAGACATAACACCACCTAGCATAAATGGTTAGCACAACAAATTTTAAAGTCATCTCAGATAGCTTCTTTGCCATTTTAGAAAGCAAATTTGCTAATTAAACAAGATGGCTACACAATTTAAACTTTATCGTGGGGATATCTTAGCAATCAGGTTATGTGAAAGGTATAAAAATGAGAAAAAGAGTCCACCTAATTTTATGGTTACTAGAAACACTAAATGGTATTCAGAGATTTTAGATAAAGGGGCTGGTTATACTAAAGACAATATAAAAATCACCTTAAAACATCCTACCTGAAGGAAGTTGCATTGTTGTTTGATTTTATGATAAAAATACATATTATGCATACATCTCAATATTTCACCTAAACTAAATACTTTTATTTATTATAGGTAAAAAAAAAATCCTAGGATAAGGGAGAGTTGGGATGGGGAAGAAGAAGGAGAAATAGGGGAGGAGAGGGACGACAGAGTGGTGATATATTAACTCTTACCAATGGAATTAGCGACGGACGCCTTCTGTTGGTGATCCCATCGGTAATTCTGATGGTGAATTGGTCACATTACTGTACGAAGATCCCGGTTTGAATCCCCTGGTCATTCCATTGGTAAAATTATCCACAAAAACTTCCACGTTATCAAACCATTTTTTTAACAAAAAATTCTATATATTTTGTCTGTAAATAAGTAGGTATTTACTGACAACATTAGTCCATCGGTATATATCGACGAAATTACAAACAAAACAATGTCCGTCAGTAATTATCAACATAATTTACCGACAAAATTATTCAATCGATAATTCCATTGGTTTTAGGCAAATTTCTGGTAGTGTAATTTAACATTAATGATTTATTAATATCATGTTGGCTTCATGTTACGGGAGGGTTGAGAGGCTGCATCTGTGCTTTGTAATATTGATGAAGAAAATGAAGGATACACCTATATGTCTCTGTAATTCAATGTTTGCTGCGCTAAATTTGAAACCTTTAGAGAGAGATTAATTCTTGATGATATCATGATAAAGAACAAGTTCACTTAAACAGGGGTAGGAGATGAATCCAGTCGTGCTATTAATGAGCCCAAATCATTTGGTCGACTGGTTCTTCCTTCTTAAGAGTACTAGAATTAACTGATGTCGTGTTTGTGAATTGCGACATCAATTAAAATTTTATCGCGGATGTGAACTGCAATATTTAATTGATGTTGCGGTTAGCAACCATAATATTTAAATAATATCGTGTTTTTAATCCGTGACATCAATTAAATGTCGATTGCGATTCAGAACTACCATATCAAAAAGTTTGTTGTGTAAATTGACCTTTTGTTTTAATTTTGTATGCTAATTGTCTAATTTATCCCAAACTTTCCTATGAAACAGTCAACAATTTCCTAGCAAGTTTCTCGTTGTACAAATGTGTTCCCTCTGTTGACCATTGTCAACAAAACCTTTTCTTGTTTGCCTTCTTTTCTTATTGGTTTCTTAATTATTTTTTGTTCTTCTTTCAGTTTTTTGATAAATTAGAAAAGAAAAAAAAAGTTCAACAGATTTCATTGATTAACGAGGTATAAACTTGTTGGCTACCTTTTTATTTTCTTTCCAGTAAATCTAGAATTATAGCTCATCATCTATTAAATGCTTCTTACTTTTTTCTTCCTTGTTCATGAATGTTACCTTGCATGGCTAGCTGGATCTACCGGTTCCTTCTGTTCTGCTTCTGTGCCTCTCACGCTTTGGCAGCAGACACACTGTACCAAGGTGATGATTCCCTCAGTTCTTCCAATACTCTAGTTTCCAAAAATGGGCTTTTCACTTTAGGATTCACAGGACTCGGCTTTGCCGAGTCGAATGCTAGCTACTTGGGAATATGGTACAACAATGACACAAGCACCCCTTTTTGGCTAGCCAACAGAGGCAAACCCATAGCAGACAATTCAGGGGTTCTTGCAATAGATGGATCAGGAAATATGAAACTCACCTGTTCTGGTGGTGATCTTGTTGATTTTAACTCGAGCCGATCTTCTGCAAGCAATATAACGGCTATTTTAGAAGATTCAGGCAATTTTGTTCTCAAAGATGAAAATTCTGGCAGCCAACAGGTCTTATGGCAAAGCTTTGATTTTCCTACTGACACATTCTTGCCTGGAATGAAGTTAGGGATCAACCATAGAACTGGCCGAACCTGGTCCCTCATGTCGTGGTTGGGCGACTTAGTACCCACTCCCACTGGTGCTTTCACTTTTGAATGGGATACTAATGGAAAGGAGTTGGTCATTAAGCGGCGCGGTGTATTTTATTGGACTAGTGGACCATTGACGAGCAATACTAGTTTCAAAAATTTCGATCTGAATATAGGGACACTTGATTTCAGTTTTATTAATGATTCTAACGCAGACGAGGATTACTTTATGTTCAATGTTTCTGCAAATCAACATGCTTCTCAGGATCAAAGGAATTTTTCAATGTGGCAGTTGAGATTTGATGGGAGCATAGTAGATCTAACTACTCATCAAACACACGGGGGCCCAGTATGTAAAGGAAATAACATAGATGCTGGTTGCGAGAGGTGGTCAGGACGGGCATGCGGGAGCAATAGTAACAGTTTTGAATTGAGATCAGGTTCCTTTGTTAACCCAGTGTTTAGGAGGGACTATAATTCTAGTCTTAGCATTAGTGATTGCATGGACATCTGCTGGAATGATTGTAAATGTTTTGGTGTTCCTACCACAGACAATAGTGCCAACAATACTGGATGCTTGTTTTATTATACAAGCTTTACACCAGACCCGACTGGAGGTGCAATTCAATACCACATCATTGTTCAAGGCTCTTCAGGTTAGCTGTTCTTTCGTTTTCTGGTTACCAATTTATAACCCAACAATGTAATTAATTTTAAATAAATTCCCATTGGATGTAGGGAAAAGGAATTGGATATGGATTATTTTAGCTTCTGTGGGATTTGTTTCATTGATGGGGCTCGCGGGACTCCTGTGGTATCTGAGAAGGAGAAGACTTGGAGGTAACATTTTGGAAATAATATTTTTTTTATATGCACTAAGACTTGTTGAATTCAGTGATTTGCTTACTTAATCATATCAATCTGACCAGAGGAGTACCTGTTTGAGTTGCTGAGAATGGATGCAACGAACGACATGCTTGAACTCGAAAATGACGGAAACAAGGGCCATAATTTGAACGTCTATAGTGCTGCAACAATCATGGCCGCTACAAATTCCTTCTCTGCAGAGAATAAGCTTGGACAAGGTGGTTTTGGACCAGTTTACAAGGTAGTCTAGTTAAAAATTACTTAACGAAACCTGTTAATTTTGTATCTCAGACCAAGTATTGAGTTGATAGCTGTTTCACTTCAGGGGACATTGCCGGATGGGCGAGAGATAGCGGTAAAAAGACTGTCAAAAAATTCAGGACAAGGGCTGGTGGAATTCAAAAACGAGCTTATACTCATCGCTAAATTGCAACACATGAATCTTGTCAGACTCGTAGGATGCTGCATTGAAGGAGAAGAGAAAATGTTAGTGTACGAATACATGCCTAATAAAAGCTTGGATTCATTTATATTTGGTAAGTTAATTATGCCATCATACTATAAAGTGAATGGATCTCTGTTCTTGCAAGGTTTTGGACTTGGATGAATAACATTGCTGGAATATTCACTGCTATGTTTTAAATGCAGATCAATCAAAAAGGGAACTCCTAAACTGGAAGAAGCGATTTGAAATCATTGAAGGGATAGCTCAAGGGCTCCTTTACCTTCATAAGTACTCGAGATTGAGGATAATTCATAGAGATTTGAAGGCTGGCAACATCCTCCTTGATGAAAATTTGAACCCCAAAATTTCTGATTTTGGCATGGCAAGAATTTTCAAGATTAATGATTTACAAGCAAATACAAACCAAATTGTTGGAACACGGTGCGTATACATTTATAGTTCTATGATTCATTACTCTTCAAGTGCTTAAAAATAGCATGACATTCAGTTTTTCCATCCAGTGGATATATGTCCCCTGAGTATGTCATGGAGGGCATCTTCTCTGTGAAATCCGATGTCTTCAGTTTTGGAGTTCTACTGCTGGAAATTGTGAGTGGTAGAAAGATCCATGGCCACCTTCTAATAGACGGCCGCCCTCTTAATCTTGTGGGATATGTAAGTTCATTTCATGCAACCTCATAAATTATACATTGCTAGCTGCATAAGCTTAATTTTAACATTAAACGTAAACTTGGTTCAGGCATGGGAGCTATGGAAAGCAGGTAGCCCATTTGAGCTGGTGGATCCAATACTAAGAGAATCTTGCTCTAAAGACCAAGTCTTGAGATGCATTCATGTGGGCTTGCTATGTGTAGAAGACAATGCAGTGGATAGGCCGATTATGTCAGATGTTATATCAATGCTAACAAGCGAAGCACAATTACGACTTCCCAAACAGCCTGCATTTTCCAATGCAAGAAGTATTGTGGAAGAAAATCCAGCAGAGACTGGTTCCATAAATGATGTTTCTATGTCAACCATGTATGCGAGATAGAGGATAATTAGAGCGTTAGATGGTTTCTTTGTCCTTAAATTTTGTTTGTCATTTGTCTATTTGGAGCAGACACATTCTCCATCCGTATTTTGCTTTTTCAATTATTAGTCTTTTTTTGGTGCTCTCAAAATTTAATTTTCATTCGGAATATACTTAGAAATTCTTAACAAGGTTGTATTTCATATTATATGTACCATTATTCGTTATG